CCCCTTCCTCCTCTCCAGGTAAAGATAAAAACATGATACTTAAATAAGACACAGACTTAGAGTAGTTTTGCGGAAAACCACAGAAATTTGACCATTGTTTCTCTCCGATGCGCATGTTTCATGTATCTCTTTACCCCAATCTTTACCCAACCCTCCCCTCCCCAAAGCTAAAGATAACAACATACTGAGAAAAGACACACTTTTGTAGTCTTGCGGTTAACACAGAAGACTGGCCCTTTTGTTGCTCTTTGGTGTGCATTGACGTAAAACTAAGCTGAAGTCAGTCACTAAAATGCAAATAAGGAGCACGGCGTGTCTGGTTTTCATTATTTTAAAGCAATCGTACAACTGAGCACTGACGATCGGAGATAAGATTGAGACAAACTGCAAAATTTCTTTCGGCGAACAAAGGTAATAACAGAATTCCTATGAAAGTAATTTTTTCCAGGCGCAAATACTCCTGCTTTCCGTGCGTGATGTGCAGTTTTATTTGTAACATAATCGATCACTTAACGTTGACGAAACGTCTCTTTATATGAGGCCCACACCATTTACTCGTCAGGTGCTTTGCGAGATTATTTCAGAGAGTTGTGGGAAAAGGGTCACGGTCTGCGTTAAACATTTAGAATTGAAAATGCATACAGTGTAAGCCAGAAATCGGTTAGATGGAAGGAAGCTCTTAGGAAAGCAATCGTAGATCAACCATGCGATCTTTCTAGAAACTATTCTCGGTCATTAACGTTTGCGCCAATTTCCTAACTCAAATTATCGTGCAGAATGCGTTTCATTTAAATGAATAGGTCGCCATGTAGCTAGCACAAAATACCTGTAGGCAGCGCATATTTTTAAGCTTTTTCCTAACGTTGCTGAAATACTGATGTTTTGGTTGCACAAATCGAGTGCAAATATTTCCCACCCCCAGCAAAATAAACTGTATTGATGCACGTGGAGGTTATCAAGCCTTGTATAAGTATTTTTATGAGAGTAATATAATCCAAATTGGACTTTGTGGCTTGTCAAAGTTCCTGCTTGATTTCCATGAATGCCGAATAACTTCAAACCTTGTATTGGCACCTAAGATATAATGACAACTTTATTTCTGAATAAATTTTCTTTGGAGTCACCCTTCGAATGAACTATTTGAATGTCTTACCTTAAGCACTTATCGTAATGCATAATATGCTTTAATCAACATCGAATGTTAGTTCCAAATAAAAAGGTAATCTAGAGGTAGTTTGGAAAACGAAGAATGCTGGAGTTTGGAACCGGAACCGGAATACTCGGAATGTCCGGAATTCCCGGAATGACCGAAAAATAATAAATTTTAAAAAATAAAAGTAAGTTAATAAATAAATAAGAATATTGATGATTAAAATTGATGATAAGTTCACAACTTAATTAAAAAATTTAATACGGAATTTTTCTCTGAGGGTCCTAAAAAAAAAAACACTTACCGGCACTGTTCATGGAGATGCACGTATTAGAATTTATAAAAGTCTGCGTCAGGCCAGTAGCCCATACAGCCTAAGCGACGAAATATTTCTACTCTCCCTTCCCCCTGGATGGGATGCTAGCCCATCACATGGTTACTCTTCGTTTTAAATTCGCCTGCACTCATTTACACACCTGTAGGATGTCAAGGGCGCCATGACCATTAGGCCGCCACGCTTTTCCAACCGAAACCGTTGCAGAAGATTAAACAAATGCAACATTTCTAATTAGTTTAATAGTTCAATTGTAAAAAGCTCCGAACTATTACAAATTAATACTCTGCCTTAAATAATTATTAACCACGCATTGGGAGCTATCAAAGCAGCTACCATTAAGACCAGCCGTCTACAGTTAAAATTGAGAGATCGTCAGTTACTCGACACCTTTTCGCGTTTATTATAAATACCTTGAATATATACTTTTGAATATAAACCTTGTTTAGAAGAATCCATCAGTACAAGGTTTATATTTAAAGGTATATCTTTAAGGTATACATAATAAACGCGAAAAGGTGTCGAGTAACTGACGATCTCTCAATTTTAACTGTAGACGGCTAGTCTTACTGGTAAAGGCTGATAGTTTCCAAAGAAACTGTTTCGGGCTGCGTCGGTGGGGATAACGAAATAAATTGAATATATCAACAAAGTTGAAATGGTAAATTAGCCACCGTTACGATTATAAAAGCTGACGTCTCGACCGTTAGCCCTCCGTCGGAGCGAGGGGCTCCGACGATTCGCTGTTGGATACTCCGACGATTAACGGTGGCCAATTTACCATTTCAACTTTGTTGATAATTAAATTTATATGGTCTCAATGGTAGCTGCTTTGATAGCTCCCAATGCGTGGTTAATAATTATTTAAGGTAGAGTATTAATTTGTAATAGTTCGGAGCTTTTTACAATTGAGTAATTAAACTAATTAGAAATATTGCATTTGTTTAATCTTCTGCAATGGTTCCGGCTGGAAAAGCGTGGCGGGCAACGGTCATGGCGCCTTAGATTAGACATCCTACAGGTGTGTAAATGGGTGGAGGCGAATTTAAAACGGAGAGTAACCATGTGATGGACTAGCATCCCATCCAGGGGGAAGGGAGAGTAGAAATATTTCGTCGCTTAGGCTGTATGGGCTACTGGCCTGACGCAGACTTTTTTAAATTCTAATACGTGTATCTCCATGAACAGTGCCGGTAAGTGTTTTTTTTGAGGACCCTCAGAGAAAAATACCGTATTAAATTCTTTAATTAAGTTGTGAACTTACCATTAATTTTTTATCATCAATATTTGTATTTAATTATTAGTTTACTTTTATTTTTTAAAATTTATTATTTTTCAGTCATTCCAGGAATTCCGGGTATTCCGAGTATTCCGGTTCCGGTTCCGAAATCCGGCATTCCTTATTTTCCAAACTACCTAATCCAGAGATGCCTCAGGTGTTGGTCTCAGCGTGAAACGGACCTGTCAATCATTTCTGTTCAATTTAGCTGGATCAAATTGTGTTAATAAAAAGTGCTTCACACGCCTCCAACATTTGCTTTTTACAACGGATTTGAACTACTGTACCCATTCGCAGGTTGTGTGAGAACCAGATACCGGCCAGAAGTGATGAGAAATAGTTGAACCAGTTGAGTGCACTGGAAGGAGTATTGCGAAGGTACGACTCATTGTCTTTGTTTATGAGAGATCGACATTTTCTCAAATTGTAGTTTTGCCTTTGATTAGGCAATTTTAGCTGCTCCAAGGGCACTGACTTCAGAACGGGTCCTTTTGGTTAATTCTCGCCTATTGGTTTTTATTTACTTTTTCTCGTCCTTTCCTATTTGTGTTCACGACGAGTTAGAATTGCGAGGTTTTCGACGCCTGGGTAGCAGAGGTGTCGTTCAAACATATGGTAGACATCGCTTCACATTTACATGTGCATACATCACAAGCCGCGTCTCTCGTGCGAGACAACAATAAATTTGTTGTGTTTTGATATAGCTTCTCTCTTATCTGTAGACTTAAAGATCGATCTGCTTAAGAATTTCAAATAATATGCGTAAGTGGTTTTCGCATAGTCACCGATTTTCGCCAAGATGCCGAGGATTTTATCAGAAATTCTGATAAAATTCTGACAAATTATTTGTTACAAAAGACCGTTCCAAACCCAAGATGTAAACAATACTGAGAGGTCAGAGTTATCTCTAAGCTTTCTTTCGAGACAATTTCTGAAGTGACTATCACTTTTTAACTTTTCAGAAATAAATCACAGCAAGCATCAGTAGACCGAGTCTACCATTATATGCAATTTAAAAGTTAACAGTCACACTCGTGCTTGCCGTTCCACGCGGAGAGAAATCTGGCGAAAATATACGCTTTACTTTCTTCGCTCGTTGGGGCAAATTAATGATAGTTCTTTTTGTGCGAATGAACTTGACTGTGAATTTGACCGAGAAGGGAAAATAAAAGCTGGCAGCTCTAGCTTTGAAATTCATCATATACTTCTAACGCGCTAACTCTGTTAAGATGATTTATTCGACCAAACAGGCAGCCCTTATTCAAGTTCCGCGCGCGCAGTTTAGTTGGACAGCAGTATCCTATGGTTGCGTACGCGAAAGCGAGGCTATCAGGTTAAGTTTCCCTGAAGATTACTAGCAGGAGTGTAGAAAATATTACATCGCTGTTAAAGTTTTGGTGAAACATAACGGTTAGACACTGTATAGCCTTTGGCTGTACGAGGCGGAGTTCAAAAGAAGATTGTCGCGGCCTCGCATGGAATTCCTTGCCGCTATCAAACAAAGATCTTCTCCAGAAATGGCTGGTAAAAATCCGAAGGGAGAACACTTCTTTAAACAAAAATTCCTATCTATGTAGCAAGCATTTCGAGCCTGAGTGCTTTGTAAAGTCCCTACGAGGACAGCGAATGCGACTCAAACCGGACGCTATACCTACGAAGTTTATTTTCTCCGCTGAAAAGCCACGGAGGAAAATACCTTATGATCGACAAGCAACAACAACAACAACAACAACAACAACAAAGAAGAGTAGTCTCAAAAGAGATGTCTCAATGTGAGTATGGATACGACTGTCGACATTAATGTCATTGATAAGCAACTGAAGAGCATTGAAAACACAGATCCAATTGTGTCCAAAGATTCACTCGAATCCACAGAATCGGGAAGACCACTGCTTGTAACAGCTGCGGTGGTACTAGTAGTTTTGCTCACTTCGCTCACTTGTTTACATGCCAAGTGCTGCCACTTTTTAAGAAAATCGTCATCCCATCCGTTCTTGATGTAGCATATAACCCTATTTTAAAGAAAAGGTACACAGACATTACGATTCTGTAACGATTTATCATCAGGGTAAAAATGCCAAGATTTAAATAAATATTATGAACTCACCTTTGAACTAGCACGGGTTTGGAAGCTGTCGATCTAGCGGTTCCATCTTCGGCAGTTCCTTTACGATACGAAAGCCACTCCTTCAGCCTTTCCTTTGTAACGTCACGAGGACACTTACCGCTTAATATTTTCACTTTCTCTTCGGCAGATAGAAATGCTGATTTTGAAAATAATTCAACATTTTCGACGCTCATGCTAAATTCGACTTCACAACTTCTGTAATCTTCGAGAAAGCTTGACCCGATAGCCTCGCTTTTGTGTGCACTAACACAGGAAGCCGCTTTCCAACTACACCGCGTACGCAGAACTAGAATAAGTTTCTAACCCGTGACCAGCCTCTCTATCGGATCACGCTTAGGCGAGATAGCGACAAGACAACAAGGGACCTGGGAAGAAAATTTCGCCATTTTCTAACTTTTTCTTGCTGCTTTGCCACTTGTGCCGAGGCTGCTCGCCGTCTTCTCGGTTTTTAACCACTGAGAGTAAAGTATAATCTTCGAGCCTGCACGAATTAGTCTTCCGCCCTTTTCTGTGTCATTCTTGTCAAAATTTGTCTGTACTTTTCAAAGGTGCCTAAAGATTTTGAAAAAGTAGTCTTAACATTAGCAGCAAAAAGCATAGCAAATGCAACCAGGCTTTCGAAACAAAAAGATGACACTATTGTAATATCGTGGTATTTCGAAATTATCCTGATCAAAGATTAGTTGATATTTTGAAAACAGAGCTATTTCTCTCGCTCACTAATAAGCAGCGAGAACGCATTCTTATCCTTCTATGTTTGAAAGGCGAATAGGAGCAACTTAAGGCAATTGTTTATTCGTGGTCTCATTATCCTTATTCATCCATGGTCGTGACTATTCTACTTTCTATTTGGTGCGTCCTTTGTGCTAAAAGTTAGTATCATGATATGAATTCATGGTTTCATCTTCAATCTTTTTTACCGCTGAAATGTGTCCACATCTCGAACCAATGGGGATCTGTACGTTTCCTTAGTTTTTTTTTTCTTTCTTTTTTTATTGATACCCCTGTCGCGAAAGCAGCGGGGTCTGGACCTGCTCGGGCCACTTTGGTGTTTTCTTAGATGAAGTACTTAAGTTTTACAGTGCCACTCTTCACTTAAGCCACTCTTAACTTAAGAATAAATAAATGGTTCCAAACCTGACGTAATGTTGGGGAGTAGGGAGAGGGGAGGGAGGTTAACTGCCATGGATAAACATCCCAACCCTAGAGAGTGGCAGCACTCCTTGCCCCGGTTGTTGGAAGATTGGATAACGCTATCCATTGGATAAATCACTATGCAGTGTATAAAGTGGTACGTTCTGTTAACATTATCTGCTGGGTATCGATTTTTCCGTTGGTTATTATTATCCGCCTTGTCACTTAATGCCTTGCACACCTGATTCTGGTCGCATGACACAGGTGCAGACTTTTCCTAACGTTTTTTTTTTCACTTTTTTTACCCCTAATAGGGTTTAGATAATTGCCGATCTACAGCACCATTTGAGAGAAACTGAATCAAACTCTGACCATTTTCAAATTGCTTTAGCTCACAGGTAATTCCTTTAGCTCTGTAAATGTAAGCAGCTCTTTTCAATCATACTAAAGAATAAGACATCTTTGTGTCCACTAATCAAGTATCTGTGAAATATTTTGTTTGTTTTCATGCGAATGTACCAGAATGTAAAGATCCATCACCCTACTCAAATTAAGTTAGGTAACCACTTCCAGTTGAGGTAGTGGTTTTTAGGGGTATCGAATGGTCCCATTCAATTTAAAAGTACTCGCAAAATTTGATCTTTGCTCGAATTGCTCGCAAAAAATTACACGGGTGCTCGCTTGCTCGTGCTCGCAAAATTTTCGCAACTGCTCGCATGCTCGCATTCTCGTTAACATGTGCTCGATTGCTCGAGATTTCGTTAATCCTGCCTTTTATTTTTTTATGCCCATATAAACGATAAATCAGTTACAATATGGTTAAGACAAAAAGGTTGAAACATCCTTTCCTCTGACTTAAGCCTTTTTCCGAAAGTTCAGCTTGTAACCATTTTGGAGGCGCTGTACGTATTATCGAGAAAACTCCCGAAGATCCAAGACAACAGACAATTTCGTTTATTGGTTTAGTTTTGATTTCACAACTACTTAAGTTGTGTGGATAACTGCAATAATCAATCGTGTTCATAGCAGCAGGGTTAGTTTTTAGAGCTCCTTTAATTTATTCTACTTGATGTTTGGCATCAACAACCTCGCATGATGAGCCAGCACAGGGATTTCCTATTAATACTTTAATTCTGAAACGAAAATACATTAACCAAGATTTAAGACGATTTCAGGAAACATTCCGATCATATTTGAGGCGTTACACAAATTGCTTAAGAGTCAGAAAACGTGAAATTACAACAACAAGAAAGAAACTAAAGAAAGAAACTTCAATTGAAATAAAAGAAAACACAAATTGAAAATGATGTCTTAGTGTCTGAAGGGTAGATCCTCGTGCGGTAAATAAAAGTCAAGACGAAATCAATGGCTAACACTGTCCGTGTACGTGCAAACGTTGACTGTGTGTCGAGCTCAAGATAATGAACAAAAGTTTTCTTAGACTAAAGTGAAATGTGATCTAAAACACGTGTCCTTGATCGGAAGTGCCTTCGTATTTGTGGCAATAATGAGTTAATAATCAGTGTTTAAATCAATTAACAAGTCAAGGTCCAAGGTTATTTATAACAATGTTGTAAGCTGGTTTTGCTTTTTCCCTCAGTAGATTTGCCTTCATTGCTTGAAGCTAGTCTTAGAATCGTTGTTTCTTAGACCGGTTTCCTGGGTATTTTACCCAGTGACTTAAACCCTCTTTCGCTTGAACAAGAAAACGTGACTGTAACACGATCTTTTTACCAGGAAATTCTGATATGGTTAGGAGGAAGCTCGAAATGACGGGAGGTGATAATTACTTGCGAACCTTTGTTGATCTAAATTCTTATCTATTGGAGCAAATTATGTGGGTTTGTGGAAATGATAGACTTTCCAGTGAGCTGACTTTCAATGGATAGAGCGCTGGACTGTTGTGCGGGAGGTCGAGGGTTCGAGCCCCGGCCGGACCAACACTCAGGGTCTTAAAATAATTGAGAAGAATTTGCTACCTTTCTATAACATCAAGAAATGGTTAGATATTCTAGTCTTCTCGGATAGGGACGAATAAATGGAGGTCCCGTCTCCTGCAGGGTTGGGGTAGGAGACGTTAATTTCCCACACACGAGATTACTGTGTGATGGATGTCCTCCCCTGGGGTGGGATGGGTGGGATATAGGGCGCACTTAATTTGGAGCCTCGCTCTGTTGTGCGACCCTCACCACACTCTGGTGAAAGTGATTAAATAAATAAATAAA